GAGGAGCGGGGGGGGGGGGGAGAGAAGAGACTGAAAAAAAGAAAACTAAGAACAGAGGCTTTCAACCAAGAGCTTTGAAAAGTTGCTTATAAGACAATCAAGGATTCTGGGCATCACCATTGCAAAAAATTACTTTATCAGTAGGTGAGATATTCCAGGACTTGTCACTGCCGACCCCAGGGAGTTTCCATGGCCTGGCAAGCGATTTGAACCCAGACGAGATCTTGAGATCCTAGTCAATTCGCTACATGGCATTGGCTTTCAGCATTCTTTCAAACCTCTTTAAACACTCTAAGACAATCCAATACCTCACACAAAACCCAGATCACAAACTGATAGAAAAAGCCAGTCCAGAACCTCCTTAGGTCTCAATACAAACTCACCATCAGCTCCAAAGGGAGGACACCCTGTGTTGTGGTCATTCTGGCTTAAAATTTCTTCACCTCCACGTAGGGCTATGCTCCTAAAGGTGGGGCAATACTGGAGTTTTAAGGAGTTTTTGGAATTCACTGCTCCAAGGTGTCACGACAGACTTTGCTTTAGAGACTTTGTTGTTGTTGTTGCTGTTGTTGTTAAGTCATGTCCGACTCTTTGTGACCCCATGGACCCTCGAGCACGCCAGGCCCTCCCTCCTGTCTTCCACTACCTCCCGGAGTCGGGTCAAAGTCATGTTGGTAGCTTTGATGACCCTGTCCAGCCTTCTCGTCCTCTGTCGTCCCGACTTGCCATAGTTTGCTGTAGTCCACACAGTCAAAGGCTTTTGCATAGTCAATGAAGTAGAAGTAGAGGTTTTTCTGGAACTCTGGAGATCTCGGGAGATTTTTTTGAAAGGGGAAAAATCTTTGGAAATTTTTTGAAAGGGGATTAAAGGAGAAAGATCTACTTCCTTGTGAGATAAAAACTCAAGGTGGTCCCAGAGAAGATCCATGCTCAAAGAAAGACTGTGAAGGAACAGCAGTGGCTGGATTCTAGCTGCAGCTGGTGGTGCCGAGAGAGGAGTCACCAGAGGAGAAGCCAACAGCATTAGACCGGCTCCCACCCCCCACCCCCTTCCTCACACAGTCTGTGTCCACCTTACACCCCTTCTGCTGGCTGGGAGGAACATCTGGAGATGGTTATGGTGGACGTGTCCAGGCTTGGAGATCAGAGTCCTTCTTCCTAAGTGGCCTTTCGTGGTCCTTCTCCATCTCCTCCTGCCACGTTAGAAAAACCTTTCTTTCCGCATGTTTATTTTTCAGTTGAAACGATGCACGCTAACCGCCGCCACACACGCCTCCACAGCAGGAAGCAGCGTGCGGTGGAAAGCCTAAACCTCTGAGGGAGGCGAAGGGTGTTCTGCGCTGCTTTCCCTCTCTCCAGCTCTCATCGATCAACATTTCATATTCCTCAACAGCGACACCCGCAAAAACAGCCGAGTGCATGCAGGGGCGGGGGAACAACCGCCAGCAGAATCAAAAGCTAACCCACGTTATTCGCCTGATCCCACAGACACCGAAAACACTTTCTAACCGTTTCACACGCCTACTCTGCTCCTTTCAAATGAAGCTCTCTTTTTAGCGAGAACGAGAGATGGAGACAAATTTTAAAAAATTGGCAATTCCGTTTTGATCTGTTATTCGTCAAGGTTAACGGATCAACGAATATGAATATACGAATATTCTTCAATGAATTTAACCACTATAACACTGGCCCCCAACCGCCTAGAGACACCAAATTTCTAGGGATGCTTCCTCGGCTGCTTTTATACAACCCCTGAAAGTTTGGTGAACACTGGGTTATGGACCCCTGAGTTATATAGTCACAAAGAGGACCCCCCCCAGGAAAGCTCTCCCCAAGTATTTTGAGACTCCAGAATCACAACAGAGCTTCCTATATCTTTCTCCAACACACCTGCCAACTTTGGTGAAAATTAGATATTGGACATCTGAGTTATTCACCCACAAATTGGGTCCCCCCAGGAGAGTTTACCACACGGCACAAAGCCCATTCTGCCAACTGGCCGCTGATCAGCTGATCAGAAGCCGATAGGCAGGCACCACACACACACACACACACACACACACACAGTGTGAATAATGTCTTCCAAAATTTGGGATTTCCTTTTGTAGAACGGTTTCTGAAATAAATAATATTAATAAAAAGATAGCAGGACTTCTGAAAAGGCTGGGCATCTGTGCAGCTGGCAGAGCATGCTTTTGGCTGGCCTCTGCAGGTTCCCAGGGACCGAAAAACGGCAAACCTGTAGGAGTCGGTAGCAGTTGCCGTGTATCGATCGCAGACAGAGTGTACATGACAGGTGATTTGCACCATCTGCCGCAGGAGATGTCCATCAAGGGAAACAACACCAGGTGCCACCTTGAGATGTCCACGTTTAAAAATCACTTAAGAAAGAGAAATGGCAGCAGGGGCCGAGCCATCAACAACAATGACTGGCTGGGGCCGGCGACAAGGTGTCACTTGCGCTGCGCGTGGAGGAGGAGGCGGCGGCGGAGGGGCAGGTGGCGCAGCCCATGGCGGTCCCCAGGCCGGGCATTGCTTTCTCCTGCAGCCTTTCACAGGGAGATGCCAGGGGAGGTTCTGCTCGGCGGATCCTAACGGAGACGGTTCTTCAAGAAAACCGAGGCAGCCTTGAGTGGTCCTCGCGTGGTCAAGAGGGGGCACTTCAGATCTCTTCTCTTCCTTGGGAATCACCACGAGATAGGAATTCCTCCCTCTCTCCCCCCCTTGCCCCCATTGGTGCTGGTCTGCGCATATTCACAAATGCTTTCTTGCACATTTCTGTGAAACCTGCAGTACTGAGAAGGGACATCACTCTTGCTTTGTTGCAGGATCTGGTAAAACTTGCAGCAGTGGGTGGGTTGCCAAATGTGCCTAGTAGGACTGGACATACAGGCGCTGCTGATAACACCTCGTTCCCTTCTCAAAGCGGAGGACGTATGTATGGCAGTTGGGATAATGGACAGAGGGCGGTAGGGCTAGAGCTATTGTCTCCTCGTGTCTTCCCCTGCCTAGTTAAGCCCCTTGTCTCCCTCTTTGCTGAAAAAAAAAAGGCAAATAGCTGTCCATTTCCTAGGCTTCGATTTTGCTCGTTCCAGCTTGTTGCTCTGAAACATCAAGTGGGATCTCCGAATGCTTTAGAACAAAAAGGGAAACACTTACCCAGTTTTCAAGCTGACCAAGGCATCTTCCACCCCTTTCTGGTTGTACTTCACCATATAGGCATGCATTTCTTTATAGTTATTCCTAATGTTTCGCTCCGTGCTGCCATTCGGGACAGTCCCAAACCGAAAGGGAGGCGAATAGGCATAGGGCTGCTGAAACTGTGAAGAGGGAGGAGGAGAAGGGAGAAGAATTAAGGAGGAACTAAAACGAAGCTCTAAGGATGCCGTCTTTAAGCATCTGAACCTTAAGAGAGATGAATTTGGTCTTAATTCCAGAACCATTACAGTTTACCTTTCACAATGCTCGATGGGAGCCAGGTCTACATGGGAAAGGTAGACCAGCCTCTCCAGCAGAGTTGACCTGCTCTGTGTAGAGCAGAGACCAGGATTCGGGTACACCCAGAGATCCGTCAGACACACACAACATCTGAGGCAGAATGGGCCACAGAGGGGGGCCTGGGGCGCAGCTTACGACCTCTCCAAAGGAGGCAGACTAGGCCTATGGCAGACTTGAACCATTCTGTAACAGGCTCAGGGAAGCCCTACACATTCTACAGCGAAGGACAACCAGGCCTTAGAGGGGGCCTGAGGCACAGTGGTTAGACTAGAGAAGCATCAACCTTTGCCCGGAAGTAGGTAAAGGTTGACCAGGTCTCCGAAGAAGGCAGGGACCAGTGACATACACAAGACACAGTAGGTGGACTCAAGAGGGATGTGGACCTCAGTCCATCAGCTGCACACAGGAGATAGAATGGGCACGGAGTCCCGCCCATAAAGGGTACAGTGGACGTAGACTGGAAATCAGAAGGCGCATGGAGACAAGGCCTTCAGGCGGATCGTAGTAGTACATGGGGCCTCGGAGGGGCATGGAACGCTGCCTGGAGCCGAGTCCATAAGGCATCCCATGGGAGTACGGGACCCAACCTACAACGTTTATATGGAGGTCGTAGCCTCAGAGGGGCATGGAATGCTGGAGTCCATAAGGCGTCCCATGGGGGTACAGGACCCAACCTACAACGTTTATATGGAGGTTGAGTGGGCCTCGGAGGGGCATGGAGCGACACCCATAGGTTGTATAACGGACGTAGGCTGGACGTCAGAGGGGGCAAGGAACCCAGTCCCTAAGGAGGATACCAGGGGAAGGCTAGGCCTTGGAGGGGGCCAGGGCCCCCATCCATCGGGCATATACTGGGGGTACATGGTGCTTCTTGAACGACTGGTGTAAAGTACATTGTGGATAGGACTCTATTCATTGGTGCTTAGCACTCCCTCTTGGAACACAATCCTGAGCGCTAAGTCGAGTGTTATTGCATAAGATGCCAAAAGGAAAGGAAAGCGAAGAGGGCCAGAAGGTGTCCCCATTTATTTCCCTGCCTCCGTTTTGGGGCCCATGGGCTTGATGGTTGCCCACCCCAAGTTACACCCCCCTACTCATCACTCCTCCAGATAAAGAAACAAAGACACCAGACCTCAGCCGTGGCCTCGTGGTCTTCCTCCCCACCACCACCACCGTGGTCCTCAAACTCAACACCCACACACACCCACCCCCGGATGTTCTTGGACGACAGCGTCCGGACACCTCAAGCCGGCCCGGCCAACAGTGGGAGAGAGAGAGAGAGAAAAGAAACGAGGAGGAAAACGCACCTTCTTATCGCTCAGGCCGGTCACCTGGTCCACAAACTCCTCTTGGATCATGAAGGCGGCCAAGTTGGCAGTGTAACTGGCCAGGAAGATGACGGCAAAGAAGGCCCAGACGGAGACCATGATCTTGCTGGTGGTCCCTTTGGGGTTCTGAACCGGGACGGAGTTGTTGAACACCAAGCCCCACAGCAGCCACACCGCTTTCCCGATCGTAAAAGAGGGCCCGTGAGGATCTGGCAAGAGAAAGCGCACACACACACAGCCGTCATCCACTTCCCAGCCTTTTATTCCTTGGGATTCCTTCGGAGACAAGAAAGGGGTGGTGGTGGTGGAGGAAAGGGGGTCATGAAAACACCCCCAAGAGCGCTGGCGGCGAGACAAGAAAGGGGTGGTGGTGGTGGTGGAGGAAAGGGGCTCATGAAAACACCCCCAAGAGCGCTGGCGGAGGGAAGGGTTGATCATGAACCTGTCCTTTCTGGTCACGGCCACTTTGCCGTTAGGGGCTGTCAAGTCACCCCTCGACTCGTGGCCACCCTAGGAAGGAGCCCTCTCCAAAAGGCCCTCTTCCTCAACAGCCCCCCCTCCCCCCAGACCTTGTAAAACGCAAGCCTGTGCCTTCCCTTATGGAGTCAGTCCACCTCATGGTCCCCTTCTCCGCTTCTCCCCACCTCTCCTCCCGGCGTACCTCGCAGGGTTATCAGGTGGATAAAGCAGGAGAGAAGAGGTCAGTGGAGGAAAAGTGGGAGGGATGAAGGTACCAAGTGGAGAGAGGTGGGTGGGGAGAGATACTACCATGCCCTGAGGCAGAGAGAGGACACAGAGGTAGAGTGCTCCTAGATCTATAGGTTCCATTGAGTTACTGTGATAAAACGCTGAAGATGGGTTGTTCTTTTCCCCATGAATTTATCAGATCACTTTTTAAAAGCCCCCCCCCCAAGATTGGCAGCAGCTGCAACAGCTTGTGGCAACACCTTGGCAAAGAGGCGCCCGCGGGAAGCCTCTCTCTGCCTGAGAAGAGCGCAAGAGGAAGGAGGAGGAGAAGAAGAAGAAATGAGTCCTGTCTCCTTCAAAAAGCGCAACCGCTGTGTTCGCAGTCATGCAAAAAGTCAGCCCTTTGCTAATGGAGGGTCATCCCCCGGAGCAGCTCCTGTGCCCTTCTCCATTGTGTGCTCTCTAAATATTTCCCTGATGCAAAAAGGAGGGGAGGGGAGGGAAGAGAGAGCCTCCTTTGGAAGCATCTGGAGGAGGCGAAGAAGAAGGCGTACCTCTCCCTTGTGCTAAATTCCGGTTATAGCCCACAGGGCTGAAGTACTCAAAGACGAAGACGGCAATGGCCGACACAATGAGGAGAAGAGAGAGCCTCCTTTGGAAGCATCTGGAGGAGACGAAGAAGAAGAAGGCGTACCTCTCCCTTGTGCTAAATTCCGGTTATAGCCCACAGGGCTGAAGTACTCAAAGACGAAGACGGCAATGGCCGACACAATGAGGAGCATTACAAACATCATCACCCAGACGGAAGCGCTG